CAGCATTAAGGTTAACGATTAATCGATTAATTGATCGTTAATTTAAACAATGATCGATCATGAAAATGATCGAAATCTAGGACATTGTTTGCTGTTTGCTAGGGAGTTTTAAGTAATTGCTAGGGCATTACAAGAAAATTGCTGGATGTTCTTTCTTCTGAGTGGTTGCTAGGGCATTACATGGAGAGTGCTAGGTGTTCTTACTTCTAAGGGGTTGCTAGGGCATTGTTTGGGGGTTGCTAGGGAGCTCTGAGTGGTTGCTAGGGCATTACAAGTAAATTGCTGAGTGTTCTTCTGAGGGGTTGCTAGGGCATTGTTTGGGGATGGCTAGAGAGCTCTGAGTGTTTGCTAGGGCATTGTTTGGGGTTTGGTAGGATATTGCTAGGTGGTTTGTAGGTTATTCTGAATGGTTGTAAGGTCATTGCTTCGGTGTATTTTGTGTGGCTGTTAGGACATTCTATGAGTTTGCACTTCTAGGACTTTTTTGCTGATTGCTAGGGTGTTCTATGTGGTTGCTAGGGCATTGTTTGGTGGTTGCTAGGATGTTCTGAATGGTTGCTATGGCACTGTTTGGTGGTTGCTAAGTTGTTCTTAATGGTTTCTAGTTAGTTCCACAAGCATTGTTTGCTGGTTCTAGGGTGTTTGGAGTGGTTGCAGAGATGTTGCTAGGCAGTTTCTAGGGTATTCCGAATTCTTGTAAGGGCATTTTAGGTAATTGCTACAGAGTTCTGTGCGGTTGATAGGACATTCTATGAGTTTGCACTTGCTAGGACATTTGGTGGTTGCTAGGGAGTTCTGAGTAGTTGCTAGAGCATTGTTTGGTGGTTGTCAGGGAGTTCTAAATGGTGCTTGCTAGGTAGTTCCTCAAGCAGTGCTTGGTGGATGCTAGGGTGTTCTCACAGGTTGCTAGGTCTCTAGATTATTCTAAATGGTTGTAAGGTCATTTCAGGTGATTGCTACTGTGTTTGTTGCGGTTCATAGGACATTCTATGAGTTTGCATTGTTTGGTAGTTGCTAGGGTGTTCCGAGTGGTTGCCAAGGCATTGTTTTGTGGTTGCTAGGATGTTGTTAGGCAGTTTACATTTACATTTAGATTTAGACATTTAGCAGACACTTTTATCCAAAGCGACTTACAACGACTTACTTAGTTTCTAGGGTATTCTGAATGCCTTTTCTGAATGAGCATTTTAGGTAATTGTTAAGGTGTTCTTTGTGGTTGGTAGGACATTCTATGAATTTGCACTTGCTTGGACATTGTTTGCTGGTTGCTAAGGAGTTCTGAGTGGTTACCAGGGGAGTGCTAGAAGTTTGCTAGGTGTTCTGAGGTGTTGCTAAGGCATTGTTTGCGGGTTGCAAGGGAGCTCTGAGTGAGGGCATAGTTTAGTGGTTGTCAGGGAGTTCTAAATGGTGGTTGCTAGGTAGTTCCTTAATCATAGTTTGGAGCTTACTAGGGTATTCTGACTGGTTGCTAGGGTGTACTCACACTAGACGAATCTGAACCGTCCCCGAGCGCATTTGACCCCCAAAGCCCGGTTCGTTTGACTAGTGTGATCGCTCCGTACTGTGCCCGGGCGCGGTTCGTTTGGCCATCCCTGGCTCGCTTGGAAGAGGTGGGCCAGAGCACGGTTCAGTTGGGCTCAGGCATGGTATGCATGTAGTCTGATCGCTAACCGCGCCGGAGCACGAAACAGCTACTATTTTGTGTGCGCTACTGTTATCATTACGACCGCATACATCTTCTATTACTACTGCTACAGTACACTTATCAATTAATTGAATTAAATCAAGTATATTTAGGATTATAACGGGTCTGGTTCTCATCTTATTGTTGAACAGCTGCAAATTTCTCTGTCAACGTCAGCTGCCTGCGTAATAATCATCTGATACGTGCAGCGCAATCAAGTGAAAATCGCTGCACGGCATAAATGATAAATCTATTAGGCAGTCTATTAGCGAAAGTGCTTTTCTTCCCATTTTTTTTTTCAAAACAAAAAGTTGCATCGTGAATGACGTAAGCATGCTCTGGCCCGGAACATTAAAATGCAATATGAGTGCAGGTCAGTGGGGGAGTGGGGAGGGGGAACAATCGCGCTCGGGCTCGGTTCAAGGCGACCGTGCCTAGTGTGAGTACACCCCTAGAGTAGTCTGAGTAGTTCTAAGGGTATTTCATGTGATTACTATGAGGTTGCTTGGACACTGTTTAGTGGTTGCAAGGGTTCTGAAGGTTCTTGGGTGTTCAGAGTGGTTCTTAGGGGGTTCCTTGAGCATTGTTTGGTGGTGGCTATGGTGTTCTGAGTGGCTACTAGGACATTGCTAGAAGATTGCAGGGTGCTGGTGTTCAGAGTGGTTGCTAGGTATGTGGTGTTAGTTGTATAGAGTGATTGCTAGGGTATTTCTAGGTGGTTTCTAGGGTATTCTGAGTGGTTGTAAGGGCATGTCATGACAGATCAAGCTTTGATCTCAACAAACCAAACTATCACTTTAATGAAATAATATATTTTCTTTCCCCACTAATAAAACGATTTTATCATAAGCTAGCTACACACTGGAGAGCTGCTTTATAACAGAAAATCAAGTTGTAATTCTAACTGAAAACGACACTGACTCTGGTTTTTCATGTTTAATACTGTAAAGCTGCTTGATTTAAGGCTATCTATTGCATAAGGTCAGCTTCAGGAGCGGCTGCGTTTGCTCTGAAGCCGCAAGCGCTGTCTTCTTCTCTTGAATTGCATCCAGGAGAGCTGAATTACATGGTCAAGCTGCATTATTGCAGGCTCTTACATTAGGTCATATGAGATCAAACGACTACTCGACAACAAAAATATTTGTCGACAATTTTTTATTGTCTGCGTTGTCAATAATGTCGACTAATCGTTTCAGCCCTAGTGGCTACCCACATGTTTAGCGGTTGCTATGGAGTGCTATAGGTGGTGGTTTGTAAAGAGTTCTGAGCGGTTGCTAGGACGTGTCTAGAAGGTTGCTAAGTGTTCTGAGTGGTTGCTATGGCATTCTTTGGTGTTTGCCAGGGCGTTCTTAATGGTTATAAAAACATTGTTTGATGGTTGCTTGGGTGTTCTGGGTCATTTCTAGGCGGTTTGCTTACTGGTCTGTAATATTGTGTTTTCTAAATATAGTTTTTAATCATCTGCCAGGTCAATATCATAGATCTGATTGCTTAAGAATGTCATAACACACCTCTTGTCAACAAACTATGTTTTGAGGTAAATTATGTGACAAGCTATGTTAGTCTTGCGTTTGTGTGCATGTGCTTAATCTGCATGTTTAGTGCACACAGTTTATTCACATATGCATAGATGACTTCATCTGCACGTATATGTACGTGTTTAGAAGAACGCCGGCAAAAACTGCAGGATGTCCCACTGGCAATGTTTTTGATAATTACTGCGTGAGTTTGCGCATGTAGCCCATTTCTTCTTGATGTTTCAATAATGTCAAATTTGGCTGAAAAACAGCACACACAGGAAAAAGCATTTTGAATGAAGCATGTGATGACAGCCCTTTGTTGTCATGGTGATCTCGCCAGCCCTTTAATTTGTTTTGTGTCTCTCAGCCAGATAGAATTGCATGAAAGTATGTTGGCTGTAACCTTCAGGCTGCCAGACCTCCCCTCACTTACCGCTGTGTGTCCTAATTAAGCTTTGTTTTACACACTGACTGCCAGCGTGAACGGCCGGCTGGATTGTTTGGGATACGGAATCCAAATTCTGGCGCACATGGAATGTGTTTTTAAAAGACGTCTAGACTGATTTGTGCCGTGTATTATCATATATTGCAGGCATCCCTGGGGTTATTGATTTAGTGGACTGGGCTTCAGTATAATGAAAACAGTGAGGAATGTTTTCATGACATGCATGCTTTGTGCCGTGCATTAAATAGCACATTTTAAGCTTGTTACTTCTGAAGGTTTCATACACTCAGGTTCACCTTTCAACTGTTGTCGTAATTATTTATAAATATTAAATTATGGTAATACTTCACTCGAAGCCTGATTAAACAATGCGATATCTAGGCAAGGAAAATTTATTTATATAGCACATTTAATAAACAATGCTAATTCCAATTGCTTTACATAGACATGAAAAAAAAAAGTTTAAAATAATGTAACATCACATGTTTATTTAAATTGGACTAAGCAAATAAAAGAATATGAGAAGAAAAGAATAAAAAATATAATATATAAATAGCCAATAAAAATATAAAGGAAAAAAAATATATAGTAATATATTTATATATTGTTGTTTTTGTTGTTGTGTGTATACACTTTATATTTATACTTGTCTATCTATCTATCTATCTATCATTGTCATTTTAGCATTATTTCTATACTGTTATAGTATTAATATTATTTAATACTATAATAATTCATATTATTTTTGTATTTTTAAGTTTTAATTTTTGCAGTTTTAATATTAGATTGTTTTAATAATTTGGTTATTGGCTTTTGTCATTTTGATTAGTTTTATGTTTTTATTTTTTTATTTTCTATAGATTTATAATTTAATATTTCTATCTAGTGTTCATTTATTTTTATTTCAATTTTAGTTTTAGTAACAGTAGTACATTTTAATAATAGTAGTATTTCGACTTAACCTGTTGCCAAGGCAACATTTCTCATTTTATTTTTATTGTCTAATATATATATATATATATATATACTTTATTTTATTTTATTTTATTTTATTTCAGCTTCAATTCCATTGCCGAATTAAAAAAAAATTTACATGTATGTAGTGTATGCATACTTCATCAGTCATGTATTATATATGTATGTATTGTAAAATGTGTGTGTATAAATATTTATATGTATATATACACACACACACACATTTTAATTTTCATTATTTTAAAACAAAATTATGCAAGGAAACAGAAAATACAACCCAGACTACATTAAATATACATGCATTTCATATGCAACGGGGATAAACAACGTTTGCAACGAGGTGCCGACCATCTTATTTTTTTTTTTCTTTCTACAGAACTTCCATATGGCTGGGAGAAAATAGACGACCCTATTTATGGCAGTTACTATGTTGAGTAAGTTCTTCAGAATCCTTCTTTCAAATTTTTGTCGAATCTGACCCCAAATCATCCGCGTCATGCTCTTCAATAAGTGCGCCGAGGGAGGGAGGGTCCCAGCGTGATTAAATATCTGCTCGTTCTGCCCCGCAGCCACATTAACAGAAGGACACAGTTTGAAAACCCCGTCCTAGAGGCCAAACGAAGGATCCAACAGCAACAGCAAATGCAAAGTCAAGGTCTATCAGCGTTGCCATTGCCCACAATATATAGAGGTACTGCTTTTCTCTGTGGCCCATATATGCCATCTTCACCCAGATGGTTGTATTGGTGTTTCTCGGTTTCGGGTTGATCAGTTGTGCCCTACTTTCACGTCACTTTAGCTTGACCGAAGCACCAAAGACCATACAGTAGAGATGGCTGTGCAGTGTGATGTGTATTCCTCTGATAGTTTATGCTTGTTTGTCTTCACAGAAAAGCCTCCATTCACGAGGGACGCCACACAACTCAAAGGGACGTTCCTCACCACGGTGCTGCAGAAGAGCAATATGGGATTCGGCTTCACCATCATTGGTGGGGACGAGCCGGACGAGTTCCTACAGGTCAAGAGCGTCATACCTGATGGACCTGCAGCCCAAGATGGCAAGATGAACACAGGTGAGAAGCTCAAGGTTAACATATGTTTCATGTAGGTTAAATGGATCGTATTTGATCCGTGATCCGTAGGTACCAAGCCCCACGGTTCGGCACGCATGTGGTCCGTGGATTAATTGCAAAATGTAACCATAATAGAGTATAAGTTTATCATTTGTTCGTATTTACACAAGCAAGTTAATTTTAAACAATTCCAGAGAGAAAAGGCGAAAGGGAACTCGATTCGTTACTCGCGCGCTGTTCTCTACGCACACAGCCGCACATGAATGAAGCGCGCACACGTGTTTCAGACGGCGCGCGAACACCGAACTGAATCCTCTTCTGAATCCTCTGAACAGACACATACACATAAAATTATGACAAAATACCCATCTCGACAATCATTCAGGTAAACGCAGTCAGTTAATTCTCAAGTGAATGAAAACAGCTGAGAAAGAAATCGGATGTTATGTGTATCATTATATCGGATCCGTGCATCAAGTCTTAAAGGGACAGCGGCCTATAAATACTGCTTCTGTCATTAATGATCAACAACGAAACAAACAGCTGTGATAAAAATCTATATATAATTTATACAGTGAACACTATGCAGTGTTATTTTCCCTAATTAATCGATATCACTTCTATTTCAAGATCACCTTTTTAAATTTTTTGAGCGCAAATGCAAAAATAAAATATTGTAAAATATTGTAATATATATATATATATATATATATATGTATATATACTTGTAATATTCTATTTAACTATGTATAATATAATATAATATTATGTATTATATTAATATTATATATTAATATAAAATATAATTTATAATATTTATTTTAAAATATACAATTAAAAATTATGTAAACAATTATTTTTAAATATTTGCATCAAATTAATATTATTTTATTGTCTTTTTTTTATATAACAATATTGTTATATAATAATTGTATTATTATATAATATGTATAATAATGTATAATATATAATATAATATGTTTCATCCACCATCTTGGGTAATGTTATTCCACTGATCTTGTCGTAGTGCATTCTGGGATTGGCCAAATGTTGGCCAATTAATCACCATAGTCAATATATATCAACTTATATAACTAGTTCACATTCAGGTTAACTTTATTATCCACCTTAAATTTGTTTTCTGAATTTATCTGAGAGATATAAAATATAAAATCAATTCAGTGACACCTTTCCGTTTTATTACCAATGATTGTCATGCCAACCATAGTTACTGTTTCTAAGGAAAACAAATAATGCCTGCAGGCCTAATTTTCCAGTTTCACTGGACTGTTTAGAATTATGAATTTAAAATTATGCCCCCTTTTAATACACTGGCACTTATCGATATATATGCAGTGTTGAGCGGTGACCTCAGATCTCAGGAGAAAACCCTCAGTGTACAGGCTAGGAAACATCATTATCTCTGTAGCCACCGCTTGACAACAGTCCCTATAGCTTGCACAGAGCTAGCGCAAGGCCACGCTTGTCGCAGTGTGGTTTTCTTTGAGTGAGTCATCACAGGCGGAAGCCATAGGCTTATTTGCTGCTTTTTCATAAGTTCTCTATTCCCATGTAGAGGAACTCTTAACCTAGTATGGGAAACTTGCGTCCTCGATGCGACTCTACCTTTCTGGATGGCTTGTTCGTTTCCTTGATCATGTGTTAACTTTGGAAGTGTATCACATATGTAAGCTCTGAAGATGACATCACTTCCCAAGGCTAGGCCTGTCACGATAACAACTTTTTGTTGTGTGATATATTGCCCCAGAAATAATTGCATGTACATATATTGCGCGATAAGTCGATATATTGATTATTGCGACAGGCCTACCCAAGGCCCTAACAGATAATGATGCTGGCAGTGACTTTATTTGCATATGCCTCCAGCTAGCGTTGCAATTTGGGCTTTGGTGAGATCTTGTGTGTTTTATCTGCTTTTGATGGGGTAACGGGGTCCTTTTATAGACGTCCTACTCTATTCCGCACACACATACACAGCTGGCTTGTTTCAATAGTTTTAACAGGCCTCAGGTTGCCTTTATTACTGAGAAGCCTCATTATCGGCCAGCTTTGCTGATAGCTTGCTCGGTTGGTGTCTACAACTGTCTGCACTAATGCAATAAAACCTTTTGTGACTTTAATCCGAAATGATATGATTTAGTAAACATTTGGGTCAAAGAATGTCTATTTTATTAACCCTGAGGATGTGTGTCTTTAAACATGACATAATAGCTCTGTTCCAGCACCTAGTGAGCTGTCTTGCTGTCTACTGTCACATTAACAAAATTATGGCAAAATATCGCAGGAGAAAATAAGGTCCATTGGTTATTGTAAATAAGAACAGCTCACACAGAAGTTGCTTTAAAATCAAGGAGCTGTCAAAACGTCAAATTGCAACAAACTTGAACCCGTCACAAAATTTGTGAACAGCAGAAACACAGCAGAATTCCAATAGGATTCCTATTTAAATGACTGGATTTTGCCCACGAAAATTTGTCCGAACATTGGTAAATGTGATCGCACCTTACAGTCCCATTCACACCAAGGACAATACTTAGAAATATACAGTTTTAATAATTCTTCTAGTTCTTTAAGAATAGGGAAGTCCACACCATAACTACTAAATAATGATAACGACACGATAACAATCCCTTACGAAAATTAACAATAGGTTTACTACAAATAAAACCAAAAAACCATGGTTACTATAGTTAAACTATGGTAACCACAAATTAAAGGGTTACTCCACCCCAAAATGATAACGACTTTATTCAACAATTCGTCTCCTCCGTGTCACCGTAGCGTCATTTATGAGAGTATCCACTAAACGCAAACTGCGCATGCTGTTCTGTGTCAGCCGCACCACATGGATACGCTGTGTTCATTCAAATCAAAACGTAAATAAACGTAGAAAATGTATCCGTGTGGTGCGGCTGGTTGCTCATGTCACCAGAGTTAAACTCCTTTCTTTGAAAATGAATGACATACAGTCAGTGGTGTATAAAGTACCTGAAAGCCATACTCAAGTAAAAGTACAGATATCTTACCAGAAAATGACTTTGGTCAAAGTTGAAGTCACTGTTCAGAATATTACTTGAGTAAAAGTCTTAACTTATGTGATATTAAATATATATATAAAAATGTTCATACACAGCTTGAGTAGCAAGATTGTGTTCAGTTTTAACTCTTTGGGTAAGAATAAGAAGCACTTCATCTGAGTGTCTGTGACTAATGATTATTAAATGTGTTCATGCTGATATTTGCGGAACAACGGTACTCTTTGTGTGATATAGATTAAGTTAACTATATTAAATTATATAAATATAAAAAGCATACAGAAGCATTTTTGCCGTCTACTATTTAGAATGCCTTGAATTTTGAGTTGCGTGCACTCCGTGTGTGATTTGGCGATACATTTGATAATGTCAGATCGCACATCATTTACAACAACAACACTTGCCATATTATCGCAGACGATGCTGTATCGCACACCCCCGACTCGACTTGAGTGGAAAATTAATCATCCGCGGTTGTGCGCGCATTTGTTTGCACATGAGCATGAGTCTAACTTGCAAACGCCAAACCACTGATTCGTCAAACCTGCTTTCCTGCAGTCCGTGTTCTTCTGACTTCTGACTGTTTTGTTGTAATCTTCGGGGAAATGTATCGGAGTAAAAGTATACATTTTAATTAGGAAATGTAGTGAAGTAAAAGTAAAAGTTGGCTGAAATATAAAAACTCAAGTAGATACTCCCAAAAATACTTAAGTACTGTAACAAAGTATTATTACTTCGTTACATTACACCACTGCATACAGTAACTGCAAACCACTCAATATGAACATCCGTTCAGAAATCAGCATAAAATTGTTTCGTAAGAGAGCCGATATCCTTAATAATTAAGCTAATTTCTGTACCTACGCACTGAGCGAGTGGTAAATGTGAGAGTCATGACATAATGCCCTTTGGAGTATGGCGCTCAATATTTTGTTTAGTCCTCTCATTTTTTTCATTATTTCTTCATCAGGTGATGTGATCGTCTACATCAATGACATCTGTGTTTTGGGCACCACCCATTCTGATGTGGTGAAGCTTTTCCAGTCAGTCCCCATTGGCCAGAGCGTCACCCTGGTGCTGTGTCGAGGTTACCCTCTCCCTTATGACCCAGAAGACCCCTCCGCTAGCTCCTCCATGCCCCCTTTGGGCCTAGTGGATCACCCGTTGCTGCTCAATGGAAGGAACAACTATGAAAATTACATGGAGTACATGTCTTTGACTGGCCGCTTAATACCCGAGCACGGCGAGGGCCTTACCCCACATCCCCATCCTGGAGACACACACCTGGACGGCTCGCAGCCTCCATCCCTGACCACACCGGGACCCCCACCTGATGACAGCGTCTCCATGGCCTCATCCTCAGGAGCAACTGCCGGGGCTCAAGTGGCCCCTGAGCTTCTGAGTCTCACTATAACCAAAGGTGCAGAGGGTTTCGGGTTCACCATAGCGGACAGTCCCACAGGGCAAAGAGTCAAACAGGTGTGCTGATATCCATGTTACTCTTTGAACAAGCATTTTAATGTGGGGGGTCTCAAACTCAAATTAAGTAGTATGTATATATAAAAAAATTGAAAACATCTAATCTATCTATCTATCTATCTAAATATGTCATTTGTTGTTATTTTAGAAAACAAATATATATATTTTTTGTAAAATAATAAGTAATAATATATTTATATATATATATAGTATTATAGTATTAGTTATTGTAATTTAATTATTTTATTGTTATTTTAATATATAAATATATAAATAAGGCTACTGTTTTACTTAACATAATGGTCAAACCAAAATTCAAAAAAAGTGAAAATTCATTTGTCAAGTCAAGTCAAGTCAAGTCAAGTTTATTTGTACAGCGCTTTTCACGATACAAATCATTGCAAAGCAACTTTACAGCAAATTAAGTTTCTACAATATTTAGTGGTAGCTTATCAGTGGTGACTGTCAATTAATGTACATATGGCAGAAATGTATGGAAAAATCAATTTAAGACGTAATAAAACAGACGATGAACACTATTAACAGCAATTATTATATGATGCAATCAAACTTATAGCAAAATGTGGTAGTTCTGTATGTTGTTTCAGGGTTGGCATCATCTGAGGTCCTCTGAGGGGTTGGCATCATCTCTTCTCAGGTGTTCTGGATCCAGACTGAAACTTGTGTAAATCCTAGTTACCACGGGATGTCAATCCCGTGGCAAAAACAGAGAAACAAATAGAGACATAATTAGCGTAGCTGCTGTTCCAACCAAGCAAAATTTATTTGTAGGCTGTATTTATGGATATTACATGGTTATATGTTCTGTCTTAATGCTTAAATGCACATTTGCCAAGCACGATATGTGTCATAACTGTTTCTGTACGTTTCAATCAGGTTCTGGAGCCGCAGGGTTGTCTGGGGTTATGTGAAGGAGATTTGATGGTGGAGATTAATCAGAAGGGTCTCCAGGGACTCAACCACACACAGGTGGTGCAGCTGCTCAAGGAATGTCCAGTGGGAACAGAGGCTACGCTTGTCATTCAGAGAGGAGCAGCAGCAGCAGGTGCGCACATTTCCACCCTTCATTTTTAAAACCAAGTTTGTCAGAAACTTGCTGAAGGTTGCCTGAAATCTACGTCAGACCTTGGCAAAGTACAGTGTGCACTGAAAAATGAAAATTCTGTCAATGTTTACTCACTCTCTATGTCTCTTTTCTTTCTGTTGAACAAAAAAGGAGAAATTTTGAGGAATGTGTACACTGCACTTTGCAATACAACGATTGCACATAGCGACCAAGGGCTGTCCAAAGCTCCACAACCTGCATGTTCCAAGTCTTCTGAAGCCATGACAGCTTTAGGTTAGAAACACACCAAAAGTCAGATTTTTATAAAAAAAACGTATTAAAAATTTTTTATTATTGTGGTTGTTATCCAATACTTACTTTTAAATTAGTACATTTTCCTCAAGTTGGGCATAAACACTGATGATAATTATTTAAAGATATATAATTTTATTATACAGAATATCATTTTTGGGTGAACCTTTTCTTTCAAAGTTTTGGTTGAAACGATGAAAGTAACTTTGTACACTTCAGTGCTTCCGTTTTTAGTCTTTTCTAAGCGCTCTGAACTTGCCTTAAGCTTTGATTCAGCAAGATTTCGAAATTAGAGGAGAGAAACATTCCTATTATAGACTCCTAGATGTGCTTTGCCTCACAAACTAACCAGTACATCTCAATTTCTCAGACTCAAACTGTTTTCTTTCAAAATAACTGAAGCTGATGAGCTGTTTTGGGACAATTTTAGCAAAGCCTTCGCAGGATTGCACACTGTATCATCTCTTGGCAAGAGCTGGTGACAGTTATTAGCATATTCAGACTGGAGCCAAGCTAATCGACTAATTCCATGCGAGTCCACTTATCGGAGTGCTTAGTTTCATTAAGATGTCCATGCAGAGCATAATATTTTATCACCCTTCTTAATTAGGATATTCTTAGAATGAAAATTAATGAGGCAATTAATAGAAACATTCTTGAAGAAGGCTACAGTCTCTCCATGTGTACAGTAAACCTGATATGTGTTCTTAAGACGCTTGTCTGTTCCTCTAAACCACTATCAATCAAGTAATTACGTCCACGCTTCCTGCCAATTACGCCGTGTGTCTGTTCTCACCTCCTCTGCGTGTTTCATGACTATATCGAAGGCTATGGTCTTAAAGAACCTCTCAGTAACCACTCCAAGGCCTCTTGTAACGGAGCGAGAGACGGTCCCGCGTGACTCACTGGCTAAGTGTGAGACCATTCAGTTTCCTGCGGGCGTTCTGCCAAGAGCCCGGCCATGTTCACAGCTCTTTTCCCCAGTTCTCTAATTAAAGCCCAACTCCCACACTGAGCTGTGGAGATAAACAGGCAGACGAATCAGAATGAATAGTGGCTCAAGGGGGCGGGGCGTTCAGCTAACAGGCCAATCAGAGCATGTTGCTTACCAGCAGGTAGCACTGAGGGAATACTCTGAAATAGATGCTGATTGAGGAGATGTAATTTATTCTTGGTGACGTGAAGAGTTTATATTATCATAATTTACATAAATTTACATGAATAATATCTATTTAAAGCAGTGGGATGAATGGACAAATAAATGTCAAGACAAGCATAATTTCACACCAGAACAAGGTGAGAATCCTGAATTCAAAGACGGTAAATAGCCTTTCTTTTGCGTTTTCCGCACTGTTCCCAACAACAAACTTACAGCGTGACCAGAGGCAGTTATTTATTTTAAAAGATTAATAATAATAAAAAAAACTTTTTAAAATAATTAAAATAAATTGAATATTCTCCTCTTGGGCCGGTTCATCTCTCCCTCTGAGTGAAATCTGAGGAGTGGGCCAGTATTGTCAAAAATAATAAGAAATGTTTAATCATGTTCTGTACACACAATGTTTGCTTATTTACCGAAGTGACAAATGCATTCTACAACCAAATTTATTCCTCCCAAAATAAAAATTGTTTCCATAAAAAAAAAAAAAAAAAAAAAAAAAAAAATGGAAAAAGATGCTATGAATTGAAATAGTAGATAATCTGACAATATGTAAAAAATTATATATTTTTTATTAGTGTTTAATTAGAACTAGGTATGGATGATATAGCTAAAAAAATCTCAATATTTTGTCATTTAGTATATATCGTGATATTTCTTAAATATCATTATCATATTTGTATAAAGGTATTACTTGACTAAAATTACTGTCTTTTTATCAGTGTTGTTATTGCAAACTAAAACTTAAAATGATTTTGAAGTTAATTGAAATAAAGCTGATATAAAATAAAATTTTAAATTTAGGTGAAAAACTACATGAAATAATAATAATAATAATAATAATAATAAAATTTATTTACA